CCAATTTCTCTTCCAATCCATACTTCCACTGAGATTTTTAGAAATCTCTTTTCTGGAGAGATTTTTAGAAAAGGCAAATGGATTCTGTAATTCCTTGTACTTCATTAGCTTACAGCACTTACTGCATAAAGCCCAAACTCCATGGAATGGCATAGATGGTCCTTGTTGATTCTGGCATGTGCCTACATTTTGGCCACATCTCCCACTTCTTGTTTATGACTCTGCTCCAGTCTTATTAAATCACTAAGCTTTCCCTCAATAGGCCATGCCTTTTCCAGCTACCTTCATCTGTCTGGCAATGTCTCTTTCATTAACTATTAGGTGTTTCGGATTTGTTTAGTTTGCATGAACACACTCCTTTGGACAGCAAGCTCTTTTCCCTTTTTTTTAACCTGGTAAACTACTCTAATTCTTTCTTCAAGGATTGACTCAAGTCTCACCTCTTCCAGGAAGCCCTCCCTGAATTCCTCATGATACCTTGTACATCATTCTTTAAAAGGCACCGTGTTGTAATCATGTGTACTTGCTTTTCTCCCTGAACTGAAAGTGAGTGAATTAAGGATATTTATCCCACATCTTATTCACTTTGCATTTCTGATGTTAAGCACAAGTCCTGGACCATTAAAATATTTATCAAATTGAAAGTATCAACTTATAAATACCTCAGATTCCTTCTCTGCCCCTTTTGTGGTGCCTGAGGTGCTGTCAAGAAAATAGCTTTTATAAGCTATGAACAAGTTAGAATGGTAAGCATTTTAAGCTTGATTCTAACTGGAATAATGATTCTCAAAGTGAGGATGAAATGTGCAGATATTGCAAAATACCGATGTCCAAAACGATGGGCTTTTCAAGGATAATAGTTTGCTTAAATGTATTTGTCACAATGTCTTCTACCTGCTAACTTCATATGTTTAATGTTGGTCACCAATAATTAAAACTATCACAAAATAGGTCTTTTTCACTCTTGATTTTTAAGTTTTTTTTTTTTTTTTGGATAGTGTATAGGAACTATGGCAAAAACACTATAAAAATAGAAATAGCCTAGAGAAAAATCATGCTAAATGTGCTAAATATTATTTATATTCAATAAATGTGACATATAATAAAGTGAACATGTTATTCACGCACAGATGGAAGATTTTATTCAGTATCTACTTATTTTTTTTTCCTGAATGACTGCACGTTAAATGTGTGTTAAAAAGTTTTAAAATGGAGCTGCCATTGTTGTTGTAGAACATTTCCGAGAAGGAACACACTCAAAAAGTAAGCAGCAAGGGACTGAGCTTGCAAAGCAGATGTTCTACATTTGCTAAATTTCCAATAATGAATTTCGCCTTTTGAGTTGACAAAAAAAAATAAAAAAACCAACCACATTGTTCTTCTCTATGGGTAGCTTTTTGCAAATTATGCAAATGAACAAACCATTTCTAACTTTAGGGATGCTCTAATGTCATAAGCGAAAAGTACGCAACTGATTTCTCCATTCTCTGGTCCACTAGGGCTATTCTTTCCATTATACTTAACTGAATTTGAAAGGGTTCTTCTTCTTGGAAATGTTGGAATATAGATTTAACAGATGGTATTCCCATAGTTTATGTTAGTAAGCATCCTAACAATAATTGATAATCCACTTTTCTTCACAAGAATTCCTCTTTGAATTTTATGCTGTGTTGCTTTCTAATATTGAGAATTCCATGGCCCACAAAGAGGTCTTTCTTCTGATGAGGTAAAGGTACTTCAAACAATGAAGTTTTTACGTAATGTCTATGAAATAGCTGATCTTTTAAAAAATTTCCCTAGTAAAGAGAATCAAAGGAAAATAGAAAATTGATGACATCAGGTATTTGCCTCCTCATATTTGTCCATTTATCATTATACCACCATATATTTTATAATATTCTTTACCAAGCCAAATCGCCAAATTTAGTTTTGATGTTTCTAACCGTATTGTATGAATATGACATAAACTTCCAAGTTTAGTGTCAAGGGGCATATAATTTGAATGGGTTTTCAAAAATGACAATGAATGATACCAAGTTATACATATTCCCTTGGGAGTTATTTCTGGCATATGAAAAGTAGCATTACACATGAATCAATAGCCAGGATTGCAATCACTGTAGACGGACGCTAAATAGAAGTCACTAAATAGACTACAGGACAGTTTAATTCCACAGTCTTAACACCATCAGCTAGATGCTTTACTGAGAAACTCAGTCCAAACTAAATTAGTGTAATCTTTGGAATATGATTCACTCAGTTATGTAATGAAATGAAAGCTACTTAAGTTTTGTTGACGACCATTATACATAGTAGAGCCATTTCAATTAAATGAAAATGGCAATAGAATCATAGACACATTAGAAAAAACCTTAGCAATGATTTAACCAAAATCTTTATCAATCTCTTGTCATCATTCTTTTAGGAGGTGCCCAACCCCTGCACATGTTTACAAACATAATCTCATTCTTTCCAGTGCCAGAGATGTTTCCTTGTTGTGAAGTTATTTCTTACCCTGAACAAAAAGTTGCTTCTGTGTAACTTTCATCTTAGTGCAAGAGTCTTTAAACAAAGAATTAACCTTAACCAACCAAAAAATGAGGGTCTTGGTAGGTCCCGGTTTTAATAGGAATATTCTAAAATATTTTCTAATTTTTTTTGTCTCAATTATTATACATTTAGTGCAATAGGATAGGGTAGATTGAAAGGGTCCAGAACCTAATATTCGTCTTTCTTAGCTGGGAGATAAACTCAGCTGTAAACAAGAGGGTGCGGGGTATATAGTAACTGAGGAGGCAGGACATAGAATCTCAGGAAAATGAACAAAGATGTGAAAAAATCCAAGCAGGAAGTCAGAAATAGGAGTGTCCATGATGTTTTCAGTATCTTAGCCACATACTTTATCTAAAGAAGTCTACATTCAGGCCAGCACCACAGACTGATTGTAGTATTTATGACTATAGGGGCAAACAGTATGTTCCAATCTTAAAAACTCAGACTATTGTTACAAATTTAGATTTCCTGAGGGCATGATTTGTTGTCCTTTGAAATGATTAGGAGTCCCCTAACATTCCCCTAGAATATGGGCTCTATCCATTAGTTCTCCTTAACCTCACCCTCTCATAGAAATCAGGCAATTGACAAGCTATAAATCAGATAGGGCAAATTTGTAAAAATCCCACTAGTAAAGGGGGTTTTCTCATAACTCTAGTGACCTGTGTTCCCTATCAAAGATGCTGCTGCCTTAAAGATTTTCCATTTGTTGAAAAGTGTTTTATTAAGCAAGTCACTGAACAAAGCATTAAAATGACTAGCACTTTGTTTTGAAAAGAAAGGTTAGCATGGTGGGGGTGCAGGAAAGGACAGGGAGTGAAGATGCCTGAGTCCTCGTCCTGCCTCTGTCTCTAACCTTGGCGTCACCTTGATCACACAGAATTTTAGAAGCCATGACTATGGAGGGAACCTAATGAGGCATCAGACTTAACACTTTGGCCAACTTAGCTTTCTTCCAAACTGTGCATTTTCTTTAACTAAGAAGGTAGGACTTACAGCATTATGGAAATAGCATTTTAGAAGCTGTACAAATAATTTCTCCCCTAAGGAGCAATAATGAAGGTAATCATACCTGTGAGGGAATCAGACACTTTCTTGCCTTCATATTTATGTGTGTGTGTGTGTGTGTGTGTGTGTGTGTGTGTTCATGATCAGGCTTTAAAACATTCCTAGAGAACGCAAACAATAATATTTAACAGGAAATTCATGCAGGTAGTAAGTTGCCCACTTATCCGAAATGAATGCTAAGGTTAGAAAGGAGAAAAGAGACAGGAGCTTATGCTCTTTATACACTTTTAGATTAAGATGGATCTTTGTCTTCTATTGACTACACTGACTTTTTGGAAACACACACAATATCTTATTAAACACACACAATATCTTATTACCAGACAAGAAATGAAGCTAAAAGAAGCTAGTGGATGGGAGTGATTGGTAGCGCTCACTTATCACAGGAGTAATGGTTGGTGGAAACTTGGGAAGGATGGCGGGCATAGGTACACATGCCAAATTAGCATTCTCTATGGTTGTTGGTAATTTCTGGGCACTGTGAGCTGCAACACTGCTCCTATGCAAAGATTGACTTGGTAAATGAAAATCTATCTTACCATCCTGGCTAACACGGTGAAACCCCGTCTCTACTAAAAAAAAATACAAAAAACTAGCCAGGCGAGGTGGCGCATGCCTGTAGTCCCAGCTACTCGGGAGGCTGAGGCAGGAGAATGGCATAAACCCGGGAGTCGGAGCTTGCAGTGAGCTGAGATCCGGCCACTGCACTCCAGCCTGAGCGACAGAGTGAGACTCTGTCTCAAAAAAAAAAAAAAAAAAAATCTATCTTACCTCACAACTTTAAGCTAAAAGGCGAGTAATGGAAATATGCAAATATAAAAACTTAAGTTTGTATTAGTTAGCAAATATTGACCCCTACTATGTGCAATGGCACTCTGCCAAAGCGTGGTTCACTTCTGTATCCATATGAATTTAGAAGTGAAGGCATTCTTGAAATTCCTCCAAAACATAAAGATGCTTCTCAGCATCTTTTTGTCCTGAAAAACATCCACTACATAAACGGTTTTCGGAAATAAAATTGAGATTCACAGTCACTTGGGAAACTAAACTGGTTGTCAACTGTCAACTATCACATCACAACGTCTGTATTTTAATACAGTTGGTTGCAAGACTTACCTTTAAATAGATAATCATGAAAAAATTAAATGACATTACATCTCATTTTCTTTTGAATGTAATGATTGAATGAAAAGGGCATCACTGATGTGAAAGTGAAAAAGCTAAAGGTGTGAATTTATTTTAATTAAATTAATATCGACCAGTTCAAAAACCATAAATGATGAATTTTAGTGTGAATTTTTGAATAATAAATTAAAAACATTTTAAAGGTGGAAATAAAATCAGGAAATAAAGCTGGAGCCCATTAGAAAAAATCTTACCTGAAGTTACTTTTTGTTCTCTACTCTTCTCCACTCTCCCTGAAATGAGAAGTGACAGATAAGTTACAGCATGGAATCATGAGAATATGATGAAAATAAGATGAAAGCCCAGTTTACAGCAATTTCTAAACACAACCACTACTTCAGCCATGTCCAATGTGCTCCTGGAGATGACTGGGCTCAGCTGACAGGCATGAGAACTGCTTGCAAACCAATTTATGAAAGTAAAAAATAAATAACTATGCATTAAATGTGCTATTGGATTTTAAAAATCTTGTTAGTAAGGGTCATTTACTCAAAAATAAACCTACAAAGGGCAAATCCCCATAGAAAGCACTATGGGGAAAACAGCTAAATAAGACTATGCCTTCTTACAACCCACTTGAAAAAATAGAAAGGACAGACAATATAACATGAAGTGAGATGTGCCTCAAACGATGTAGAATGTTTAAAGATATGAGATGATGAAGCAGTTATTTTAAGAAAGGAGGGGGTGCTCATGAAGTTATAGAGAAAGTGGTATTTGATTTTGACCTTGAGATACAAACGGGATTTGAGAAATTTGAAATAGAGAAATGACTGACTCTTGGCAAAGAAAACAGTATGGGCTAAATGGACAGGGTATTTGCGCAAGAAGACCTTGCAAACTTACAGCAGTGCATAGGAGGAAGACTATCCTAGAGGTTAGGCACAAGGTAATGAATGTGGGGACTGAGTTATGGCAGTGGGAATGGAGGGGAGGGAAGTAGTGGATGCGAGAGACAGTGGGGAGGCGAAAACAATAGGGCCCAGTGATTTATAAAATGTGAGTTGCCAGGAAGGAGGAGAAGTCAAGATGAATGGTTAGCTAGGTGACTTTGGGCACAGAGATGCAAGTTGGGGAAATGGTATTATAGAATGCGATGGGGCTGGGAATAACAAGTTCAGTGTTAGACTGACTGACTTTGAAGTACTATGGGGACAAGGAGCTTGTAAGAGGTCAGAAAATTTAAATGTCCTAATATATATGCCTCTGACATTGGAGCATCCAGGCTTGTAAAACCAATACTACTAGATCTAAGAAAAGAGATACAGCCACACAGTAATGGTGGGGGGACTCCAATAGGCACTGACAGCATCAGACAAATTATGGAGACAGAAAACTAACAAAGCAACTGTGGACTTAAATGAACTTTTGACCAAATGGACCTAACAGACATCTACTGAATATTCCATCCAGCAACCACAGAATACACATTCTTCTCATCTGTGCACAGAACATTCTCTAAGATTGACCACATACTCAGTCACAAAGCAAGTCTCAATAGAATCAAAAAATCTGAGTTGAAATTACAGATGCAAGAAGTGTTCATCGTAAGAAGATGGCTGAAGCTGAAGGAGTGAATGGGGCATAAAGGCAGACAGCACAGAGGAGTGGGCGGAGGACAATAACTAAGATGACATGACGGCTGCTTTTGTTTTGTCATATGGGCCCATGGGAAGTCGGCAGCAGCCGAGATCCAGGGAGCTCAACAAAGTGCAAGCTCCTGTACCACAAATCAAGTTTTAGAAGTATGGGGGTTTTCAATAGCATGTTGCTACTGCTTGCGGAGTTCACATGATTGTTGCTAGACTGCGAGAGTAGTTTTAGCAGAGAGTGGACAGAGAACACAAGAGAGACTGCCAGGGTCTGGGAAGTAAGTGTGTGATGAGAAAGTGGAGCTGAGGACATGGCTTCTTGTTTATCAAATTTGTCAGCCTTCAAATGAGTCGAATAAGTGAAATGGGACAATAGCTTGAACAGAAGCCAACTCAAGGTTTTTGCTGAGCTATGGAAAACGTAAGCATGCTTCTAGACTTAGGTAAGAAACTGTGCACCTGGGCGATGAACACCACGGTGGAGGTGAGGGCCGTGGTTTTGGATAAGTGAGGGCCATCCTTCCAGCTGCCACTTTTTTGTCATCTATCAACATTCTTTAGCTGGAGCTAGTTACTGAGAAGTTAGGCCACACGTTGAAGCTACATGTAAACTGTATCCAAGCTTTTCTAACAGCCCTTCAAGTCTTTTAAAATCCTAAAATATAAGGTGGAAAATGTACAATCTTTCCTCATGTCGCTGTGAAAAATGTACAATTCATTTAACTGGCACCTTGATTAATGGCACGTTATATTTATTTGGGTGATTTCCAGAGGACTTGTTTGATGCAATTTATTTCAATGATTCCAACAGATAAATAACATGAATAATCCATTTAAAGGCCTCATTCATTACCAAGTGTGACAGGGCACCTCCTCATTTAAGTTTTCCACTGGGCAAGCCACTGCTTACTGTTTGATTATTCACTTATGAATACTAGAGGCCTCAGACATTTTCATAAATTTTAAAAAATGGTATTCAAGGCTTGAATTGTAAATTGTGTAAAGAAAAACATCTTTTTGAAGTGTCTTTAACCTATATTAGAATGAGTTACTAATTCTGAAAGTTGGAAGTGTATATATTTGAGATAAATAATATGGTGTAGTGATCAAGGTGTCCCCAGTGATTCTCATCTTCTCTTCTTTTGATATTCATGTCCCGTATAATCCCACTGATTTAGACTGACTGTGTAATCAAGCATTTTGTGGGAATAACAGAGTGTGATTTTGAGGTTGATCCTTAAGAAAATTGTGGCTTCCAGTTTGGGTGTGGTGGCTTAAGCTTGTAATCTCTGTGCTTTGGGAGGCTGAGGCAGGAGGATCACTTGAGACCAGCAGTTTGAGACCAGCCAGTGCAACATAATGAGACCACCATCTCTAAAATTTTTTTAAAAGATTAGCCAGGCCTGGTGGCACACATCTGTCGCCTCCGTAGTTAGTTGGGAGGCTGAGGCAGGAGGATCATTTGAGCCAAGGAGTTTGAGGTTACTGGGAACTATGACTGCACCACAGCACTCTACCTGAACAACAAAGCAGGACCCCATCTCGAAAAACAAAGACAAAAATCTATGGCTTCAATCTTCTTTTCTTTTGGATCACTCCCTCTGGAGGAAGCCAGATAATATGTTGTGAGGACACTCAAGCAGCCCTATGGAGAGGTCCATGTGGCATGGAACTGAGGCCTCCTGTCAACAGCCAATGAGGAACAAAGGCCTGCCAGCAGCCCCCATCAACTTGCCAGGCATATGAGCAATCCATTTACCAGCCCTAGTCAAGCCTTCAGCTGACAGCAACTCTGGCCAACATCTTGACCGTAATCTTGAAAAAGCCAAAACCAGAACCATCCAGTTGGCAATTCCAGAGTCCCCCACAGAAACCATTTGAGCTGATAAGTTTGTTTTTGGCTGCTAAATGCTGACATAAGCGTTACGTATATGTTACGAAAGTCTGTCATAATTCATCATTTAGTGCCAATTGCAGGCATATCAATCAGTCTCCCTGATTTTCTCATTTGTGAAGTGGGGATCAGGGCCTGCTTCTCTGGAATGCTGTGAGGATTAAACAATTCCATATGGTAAAGCTAGCAAGACATGGACAAAATTAACATGAAA